GGGCGCCTGGGTGGCTCAGATGGTTAAGCGTCTGCCTTCGGCTCAGGTCATGATCCCGGGGTCCTGGGATCGAGTCCCACATCGGGCTCCTGGCTGAGCCGGGAGCCTGCTTCTCCCTCTGCCTCTGCCTCTCCCCCTGCCCATGCTATCTCTGTGTCTCAACTGAATAAATAAAATCTCTAAAAAAAAAAAATAATAATAAAATAAAATCTTCGTGTGGTAGTTCTGCCATCAGGTCCTTTTCAGGGGAAGTTTCTGTTGATTTATTTTTTTCCTTTGAATGGGCCATACTTTCCTGTTTCTTAAAATGCTTTGTGATTTTTGGTTGAACACTGGACATTTGAATCTAAATCAGATTCCCAGGCTTTTCTGGGTTTTGTTATTATTTTTGGATGGGGGGGCTGGATTTGATTTTGGATGGTGTCTCTGCTGAGGATCAGCCTGAGGTATAAACCTAAGGTGTTCTCACTTCTTTTCTGATTCTTTCCCTGGGAATGTGTGGTCAAAATATTCTAATTTTCTCTATTTGCAGTTTTTGTTTGTTTTGTTTTTTGTTTTTTTTTTTAAATACCCTGCTCTTTAATGTCTGGCTCCCAAAAGGGGCAAAAAGCAAAAAATGAAGGGGAGAAAGGATGCCGGTCCTTTAAGTCCCCTGGAAGTCACGTTAGCCAGAGGGTGAGGAGCTTGCAACAGTAGAGGGAGGCGCAGTAACAATGGCTGCCTGCCTCTTAGTCTCTACCTCTTTGGTCAGAAACTACAATCAGGGATCAGAGCACAGAGCCTGATATTTGCAGGAGAGAGTCCTTTTCGCTGGTACTGGTTTCCCCAGAGTGTGTAAGCTACTCCAGCAACAGGTGCACAGCCGCCTCCATTGTGTCTGGGGTAGGAGATGGGTAGTTGCTAATGTGCTGAGAGGTGAAATTGATGTAAATTAACCCCAATTTACTGTCCAAGGTTTACCCCAAAAGTTATAAGCCTTTAACAGACTCCAGAGTTCCAAAACAGTTACATCAGACAAATTCTGCCAGCTCAGTTGTCTGAGGGGGAGAGATTCCTGGTGCTTCCTACTTTGACATTTTCCCAGAATCCTCCTCTTCCTTTTTTAAGGCTAAGTGTAATTTCATTGTACTTATATACCACATTTTGCTTATCCATTATCCATTAATGGACATTTGAGTTTCTTCCACATCTTGGCCATTGTGAATAATGCTGCAGTGAATGTGGGAGTGCAGAGATCTCCTTGAGATCTTGTTTGTATGACTTTTGACTGAAGGTTTTTAAAATCTTAACTTTTAGTGGTTATAATTAATGATCTTAGAGTAGCCTGCCGATGGGCTATCCAGAACTTCCAGTGTTGCAGTGTCCCCTCATTCCAGTTTTTTTTTTCCTTTTTATATAAATTACCTGAAGTGATGTCATTTGTTTCATTCTAGGCATGCCAGGCTGCCAAGAAGACAAAAGCAGATGATCGAGGAACAGATGAAAACACTTCGGAGCAGACAATTCTCAATATGATTTCCCAGAGCTCTTCAGACACAACTATTGCAGGTTTAATGAGCATGTCAACTTCTTCTGCAAGTGCAGTGCCTTCCCTTCCAGCCACTGAAGAGTCATCCAGCAACGTAAGCAATGTGGAGATGTTGCAGGGCGAGCGTTGGCTGTCCTCCCAACCTCCTTTTAAACTGGAACCTGCTCAGGGTCATCGGACTAGTGAGAATTTAGCACTTATGGGAGTTGATCATCCTTTGCAACAGGATGGTTCGAATGCATTTATTTCCCAGAAGCAGAATAGTAAGAGTGTGCCATCAGCTAAAGTGTCACTGAAAGAATACCGTGCAAAACATGCAGAAGAGTTGGCTGCCCAGAAGAGGCAATTGGAGAACATGGAGGCCAATGTGAAGTCACAATATGCATATGCGGCCCAGAATCTCCTGTCTCACCATGATAGCCATTCTTCGGTCATTCTGAAAATGCCCATAGAGGGCTCAGAAAACCCTGAGCGGCCTTTTCTGGAAAAGGCTGACAAAGCAGCTCTCAAAATGAGGATCCCAGTGGCCAGTGGAGATAAAGCTGCCTCTTCAAAACCAGAGGAGATAAAAATGCGCATTAAAGTCCATGCTGCAGCTGACAAGCACAATTCTGTAGAGGACAGTGTCACAAAGAGCCGAGAGCACAAAGAAAAGCACAAGACTCACCCATCTAATCATCATCATCATCATAATCACCACTCACACAAGCACTCTCACTCACAGCTTCCAGCTGGTACTGGGAACAAACGTCCAGGTGATCCAAAACATAGTAGCCAGACAAGCACCTTAGCACACAAAACCTATAGCTTGTCTAGTTCTTTCTCCTCTTCCAGTTCTACTCGTAAAAGGGGTCCCCCTGAAGAGACTGGAGGGGCAGTGTTTGATCATCCAGCCAAGATTGCCAAGAGTACTAAATCCTCTTCCATAAATTTCTCCTTCCCTCCTCTTCCTTCAATGGCCCAGTTGCCTGGGCATAGCTCAGACACAAGTGGCCTTCCTTTTTCACAGCCCAGCTGTAAAACTCGAGTTCCTCATATGAAACTGGATAAAGGGCCCACTGGGGCCAATGGTCACAATGCAACTCAGACAATAGACTATCAGGATACTGTGAATATGCTTCACTCCCTTCTCAGTGCCCAGGGTGTTCAGCCCACTCAGCCCCCTGCATTTGATTTTGTTCATTCTTATGGTGAATATCTGAATCCACGGGCTGGTGGAATGTCCTCCAGATCTGGCAATACAGACAAACCCCGGCTACCACCTCTACCATCAGAACCTCCTCCACCACTTCCACCCCTTCCTAAGTAAAAAAGAAAAAGAAGAGGAGAAAAAAAAACTTCCTTAAAAACAACTTTTTTTTTTTAACTACTGATTGTGGACTAAGAGAATACTTCCCTTATGAACTATGTCACCCTTCTTGGACTAGGGAATAATTAATATTGACATGCAGGTGGGAGGGTGGTAGAGGGGCTTGGTTATTATATCTACTGCCTCAGAAATTTAACTATTTTATTATAGTTTTTACTGGTATTAGAGAGGTGAGAATGTGTTGAAGCTGTGAAGGATTAAGAATACTTTCTCTGTTCTTGGCCTCTCCACCTCCTAATTAGGTTGATTAGAGTTGATGTCTTCCCTCTTCTTGCCAGGACTGAAATATGGAGGGTTTGTTTTATCAAACAATTGTGGATCCTTTTGGTGTTTAATATATCAGAAGAGAGGAAGTATTTAAACGTCAAAATCTTTTAAGAGACTTTTAAAAAATAATTTAAAGAAAGTAAGTTATCTGTTTAGTTTTTTTTATATCATCGGGGAGGGGATGGGGATTTTGCTGTGTGTATGAGATACATAGCAATGACTCCTGGGGGGTGGGATTGGAGGGTGGGAGGGTGTGTAGCGGGGATGGGAGGGTAGGCTTTTGGCCTTGAGTTCTGTCTGATAGGCTCTGGCCACTTGAAGTGTTGAGACCTTTAAGTGTGTATGTAAGTGTGGGTATGTGTGGTTTTAAGTGTGTGTTTAAAAATCATGTTTTATCTTTCCCTCCCTGTCCCTCACCATTTTCACTTCCCAACAGTCTACTAGAGAGAACACAGTGTGGCCTTTAGAACATAAAGGAAGGAAGAGGCATGTGTTAGCATGGTATTTTCCCATTTCTTTATGTTGTAATTGAGTGGTAGCCTTCTAAATTCTAGTTGGGGCAAGTGCAGCCAATGGCCTGATTCTGGACTCCATTATAAAAACTTCCGTTTTACCCCCTTTTCCCTTTTGATGCAGAACAAAGGTGGGGTTGAGGAAGAAGGATTGGAGAGCAAGGCTGGCTTCTGCCCTACAGAATTGGGTGTGTCTTTTTTCAAGTTGGGCTTTGGGAAAGTGTTCAAGTGAGAGCAATCTCAGGGTCTCTGAGGGGAAGGGGAATGTGTGCTGTATATCCTGCCTCTGAAAGCCCAGACCATATATGAGAATAGTTCTGGGAGAAGCCATGGACCTAGAGGATACTGAAAACAATGAAATTGTGATTGGGTATTTTTAGGATATTGTATTGTAAATTGCATTATGAATGTAAGACTTGCTTTTTATCTGTATATCTGAAGGGAAACAGCTGCATCCTTAATTTTTGCAACCTATGTGACTTCAGAGATTGGAGCTTGTGAATTTAACAGTACTGGTGTCATGAGGGTGAGCAACCCTAGCCCACAGATGCACATTGTCCATCTTTGGTGGCTTTAGTTTCTAGGCAGAGGTTTTTCAGAAGATTTCTAAGAGTTCCTTAAAAAAAAAAAAAAGGATCAGGAGTCCTATTACGGGTTTTTGATTATCCCAGATTTCAGGATAATTGGTGTTCAAGATCCTGACACTCAAAACTCAACACTTTAGTTGAGGAAAGAAATCTGTCAAGGGACTAGAAAGAATTCTAAGCCAGGTTGTCTAACTGAAAATGCCACTAAGCCACAGATCATTTGATGTGATATTCTTTGGTCTTCATGGTATTTTTTGCTATGGAAAAGATGATGCAATTTGAATGTCTTGTTGTTTTTAATGCAGCTTCCTTTACACCAAATATTCTGTATAGAAAAGTTGAATATTTTTCATTGGAAGTCATAGGGAGACAGGAGTTGTACATGTGCTGCTGCTTGCCGGGAACAGGTTGGGGAGAAAACTGAGGCAGTTGGAATTGTTGATGCACTGGCCTAATATAGGAAGGAATATGTACAGTAAACCTTAAGGTGAATTAATGTCCTGCATCTCTGCATATTTGAACTGTCTAGAGTGCCTGCCATTGCTGTGTAAAATGAGCTCTCTGCCGACCTGTAAACCAGTAATACATAGAATGTTACTTCATTTTCACTGATGGCATTTTCCTCTAGCTCCCTGATATTTTCTCTGTTATGCTAGGTAATTGGTAGATGTGTGATGTGTTTACTAAATCTAGGCTTTCTGTTTGTTTAGATTTTGTTTGGTGGCGTCTGCTTTCCTTCCTGACCTTCCCAAAAGTTTGTTTAGTTTGGATCTGTATCTTTGTGGAATTGATCACTGATTTGATTATGAAAATGTCTTTTCCAGCGTTCAGTTTTTCTCATGAAATGTCACATATTTTCTAATCATATGCACTCCTTCACCACAGAGGCAGACATACCCACTTGGCCTCAGAGCTGTTCCCCATGGCATCTGTACTTAGTTGCTTGGACCTTTTGTCAGGAGTGAACTAGAAAAAGTGCTTACTAGAGCCTAAGAGCTGCTTTATGCTGTGCAGTCTGGCCTTTGTACCGGTTTCATTGCTGATGTAGGTCAATTTAAAGACTTCTATATTAATGCCTCCTGATGCTGTTTTAAGGTATCTACAGTGTCCACAGCTTTTGGATCTGTGTATATGTCATGAATGTCCTGTGTGCTCTGCATGCAGCTGCTGCATTTGGGTTCGCAGATATGCCTGTTGACTAGCATGCCTATTGTGCAAATTACATAAACTTAGGCTTCAGAGGGTTTTGTGGTGTCTAAACTCTGTGTTTTCTCTATGCTCACACCTTCACAGGGTGAGAAATGGGATTTATCCATCCAAAGTTAGTCTAGTTAAACTTGGCTTTTTTTCTTTTAACCTAGACTATCGAGGATAAGTGGTGGTAAGCAGGCGTGGAGCCTCAAGTTCTTATAAATTCATTCCTAAAACCTTGCGTGACTCTTCTGTTGGCAAAAACAAACACCTGTGGAATGTCCTTACGGCTTTTAATCAGATACCTGTGTTGCTGTTGGCTGAACTCTAGTGAAGCATTAATTTAAAGCTAAATTGGTCTTCTGCAATATCAGTTATGCTTTTTGGGTTTAGAAAATATGTAGGAATTAGTCTAAGCTGCTCACTCATGAATCAGTGTGTTTCCATATCTGTGACTCTCAGCTTCCTCTTTTTCTTTTTTTTTTTTTTTTTAATGATTTTGTGTTTTGATTCAGTGTATTGTTTTTCATAGTTCTATATTATTGGCTTCACCAGTGTTGATAGAAAAAAAAAATTAAATCTCCAGTTGGAAACAGCAATGGATTAGGATATAGAAATAAAATCATGGTAACATCAGTGCTGGATTTACTTAAGCTTCTACTACCTAATTCCCCATGTTAAAAATGCATACCCCTCATACTTTGCTTCTGGACAAAGGCAATTAGAGGGGTCTTAGCCCAGTATGGTAGGATTTTAAAGATCTTTGTTTCCCCACAGAAACACAGGAATTGTGGGAACTTGGGAACAGGTTAATTTTTTAAAAGGATTATTCTTTTGTAAAGGAGTTATTTTGATACTAATGCTAGGAAGAGGATATTCTAGAACATCTTGAAGTTGGAATACAGATATTCTCTTGGGTTTGGGAGAATTTAAGCAGTCTATGCAACCCTTCACATGGCGAGAAATAAGCCCTTAGCAGTCCCAACTAAGCTTTCAGTGACTTTAGTACCTCCCCAGATTTCCCATGTTGCTGCTTGTTAACACCCAGCTTTTAACTGAGTGTTTGCTCCTGATGGTTTAAGAAGTGTTTGTGTTGTATCACACTATCAAGTTTTATTTTGTCTTTTTATCCCTCTGAGGGTGTGAGTTTGAAACAAGCATGGTACTGTAATCCTACCTGATAGAGTGGTCTGGAATGAGAATTACTTTCAAAGTGGGAGACCCTTCCATTTTAATGTTCCTAACGTTTTTAATATGAACTTGGCATTGGAAAAGGGAGGGAAAGAAAATGTTTACTAAAAAGCAGTGTCTGCTCTTCCCCTTTTTGAGTGCATATTTATGGTTGAATGAAAAGAAGAGAAAGACTCTTGGGTTTTCCGTTGCCATGTTAAGCATGGAGAGGGATGCTTGACAGCATGCTAATTGAAGCCAGAGCAAGTATGTCTCCATCAGGTTATCAGGAACTCTTCAGTTGAACGCTGAGGACCTAACTGGTTAGTGGTAGATCACATTGGAATTGGTTACAAGATGGAAGTGCTGTCTGGGTTAAGCACCCAAAGAAAAGAATGCAGCAGCCTGACTTAGCGTTAACCTAGGTTTCTGGATTTGAAACCGACCTTTCCCTCACCCTACTCCACACTCCTGAAACTATCCGTTTTCTTATCAGACCAAAGAGCAAAGAAGAAAAAAAAAGTAAAATACTTTAGCAATCTATGTCACTCAGGTACAATTTTGTGGTAATATTTTTGTCTGTTTTCTTTGTATTGCTCTTAAGAGTCCTTTCTCAGCATACTATTCTGCTGTTGCCTCTGTCCTACTTGGGGCACCTCAGTTCTGGATGCTACCCCTGGGATCTCTACTGCTGTTAATGTGATTGATAGGATGTAAGTGACCATTACAGTAAAGGGCTCTTTGTAAAAAATTCAAAACCATTTTTAAAAAATTTAAAAAAGGATGTTGTATACATTTTATAGTCTGGCTATCAGTTTGATATCTTGCTGTCAAGTATGTTTCTCAATCTGTATTTATCCATCCCATCAATAAATGTTAATGATAAAACACTCATCTGATTGTTGTTTATGTGTCCTAAGTCTTCAAATTAGTCTTTAACTGTCATTTTACTGTTATGATTACAGTTTTTAGTTTTGGTAGTAGTATGTACTTTCTGACTACACAAGATCCTGTGGGAATTGAGTCCATTGGAAAGACCTAAGATTTGGTTGTCATAGTGAACCTGGTAGTATAAAGTATGATGTAGTCAGGGGGAGAAGAAACCCCTCACTCAATATAGCATTCTTGGTGGTGCCTGGAAAAATTGATAGTGAATACTCAACTCTTTTCCTGGAACATACAAAACCACACACACCAGGTAAATCAAGGGAAAGAATTCTTATGCTAAAATACTCCAAACTTACAAAGTTAGCAGAAGCTATAGTTTAAAACGAAAAAAAGATCAGTTTGACAGAATGATGAATGATGTACACTTCTGAAAAAAGCACTTGAGTTTTGGTCATCCTTCCATTTTCTAAAATAAGACAACTTAAGATTTTTGATTGCTGTACTTCTGAAACTTTTGTGGAAGTTGCTAACATTTTAGGAATTCTGGTCTGGTTCGAATGGGAGAGAAGTAAATGAAGAATGGAGGAATGGATAATATTACAAAATCCTAAGTTTAGTGTTTTGCCTTTGTTAAGAGAGTTACTATCAACTGTGTCATCCTTGGCAATAGATGAGGTATAAATCAATATAAAGGTGGTGTGCAACTGGATTCCCATTAATAGGGCTTGTTAAACTAAATGATACAGAGTTAGGTTTCATCTTATGGTCAATGCTTACATGATCCTGGTCTC